AATAAATATAAAAGTATAAATTTCACTTGTCTCTAAAACAATTGTACAATTTAGTCTGTCTGCAGCCCACCTATCCAAAATTATTTAATTCTTTTAAAAAAAATATTCCTTCTCCTATCCTTACCTGATTTTCTGCTGTAACGATTCCTTGTTCCTGTTCAATGTCATTCACATTAGCTTCTGCAAGTCTAATGTCTTCTATGTCAAACATAGGACTAGTCGGCTGTAATACTGTAACTAAAATTTTATTTTTGGGATATCACTTGATGTGCATTTATTATTTAAATTACAACTGAGACAATATTATTTATATTACACTTTCTAACATTTAACCTCCAGGTTTTGTGCCATAAGAATTTTTTATTCAGAATAGTTATTTTGTCTCCACAAACAAACTTTAGGGGGGGGGGTGTATATAGAAGTCAGCTTGTCGTTCGGTCAGTTGGTCCGTCAGTCTGTAATTAGACATACAATGGTAACCCTTAAACTATTCTTCAATTCCTTTCATGTGAACACTGTGTGAAGTTTAAATAAAGTTCTTTCAATAATTTTCAAGTTGTTTTCCGAACAAATAGATCTACCATTAAGTATTAAAAAGGGAGATATTTTTTTGAAAAAACTAATTAATGTAGAATTATGGTTCTTTGACTTCCTCCTACTTGTCTCTATAAACATGTGCAGTTCAAATGAAATGTCATTAATAGTTTGGAAGTTTTACTGCGGACAAGCATTTTAAGGTTAAGGTTAAGACACACCACTCAAATGTTCAATATAATATTATTTAGTAATTGATGTAATATTCTATTATTGCACATTACATTTTGTCATAGCATTGTGTACTTTGTCTCATATAAAAGAACCATATTTACACTTGTTACTCTATATATGAAAACAAAACCGCCTATGATTTCAACTGATTATGAGTGTCACATGACCTACTATTATGAGTTTGTGCCCCGGGGCCGAGAACTAGTTATCAGCCCGCTGAACATGTGCACTTGCACGAACTGAAACAATGACGTCACATTTTATGTCATCAACAAGTTAACTGTAATTTTAGTGAAAATAGGTTTTAACTTTTAAGCATAAATCGCTTGATTTTATTATGAGAGCTTAAGCGTATTTCGTACACACACAGTTTTATAACTATTAGAATTTTGAAAGAAATAATACAACAAATTCATTCCGAAAGAAAAAAAGAAAATAAAACTTGCTTCTAGATTCTACAGTACAGTACAGTAGTGTACTTTGAACATACAAAAGTAAACAACTCTGTAGAAGTTACTGTACAGTATAGAATCTAGTAGAAATACAGACAGGAATTTCAACGAAAGAAATTTCAAATTATTTTTTTGTGTGGAAAAATGCTACTATTAGATCTACCAAGTGTATTAAAGACATTAATACACGTCTTAGTTGTGCCAGAAGGTGATAATCGGCCCTGAAATGAATAATGCCCTCGGGGGCCAGTATTCATTTTGCGGGCCGATTATCACCTTCCGGCCCTACTCTGCCGTGTATTAATCTCTAAATATATCCCAAACTGTGATTTTATCACTCAATAAAATCACGATTTGGGGTTCTGATGCGAGGAATTATATAACAAGGGCGTAGATCTAGCCACAGAGCATCTGAATGACTAACAGTGATTTTATCAAGCGAAAAAATCACCAATTTGGATATATTATTTCGATTCTAACAGAACATTAACAAATAAGTCCTGTCATCCCTGATATTAAGCTAAATTGTGCCTAATTTGTTTCCGTACTTATTTCAGCGTGTCGCATTTTTTAGTGGTTAAGTCACATGTATATATTGATTACGTCACATGTCTATAGTCACTACGTCACTAGTGATTTTATTGCATAATTTAATTATTCTATGTTCAAAAGAGAGAAAATGCGGGTCGTGTTAGGATTGTAAATAACTGTCGACTGGGCTACGTCAACATATGTATAACTTTTTCCTTTTAGGTTCATATATTTCTTGAATTCCTTGTTTTAAGGTGCATAACTTTATTCAAAATTGGCTAATTTACACTTTACTCAAATGATAAAGAAAAGTAAGCCGTCTTGTGGGCTTACTTAATAAATAATCATCACACAACAAAAGATAAAGTACATATTGCTCCTGTACAGACAATTTAGTTTATTTGCTACTTATGATAAATATCTTATATGAAGGTATATTACTGTAAAAGTCAAATTTAAATGTCAATCATTTAAAGTTAATATCACCAGACAACTTGTCAATGGAAAAGTACCTTTCAGAGGCAAAAGCTAATAAATGTATTTAATGAGTTATATGGTATTTTTACCTAAGAATTTAAATTATATAGAGGATATTGAATGAGTGTAGGTTTAATACTAAAGGAGTATGTTCAAATATAGTGAAAATCGGCCCAATTTTTAATTTCGATAAAACTTGAGCATATGACATAAAAATATGTCCCAAGTAGGTTTTTGTTGATTTTTGTATAATTTTTTTCCAATTTGTCAATTTTTTAGGCTCTATACTTGACCCCATTGTAACGTATTTTGACGTCAAAATTGCAACGTCAATCAACGACGCCGTAACGTCATATTAATATTTGGAATATGAAACGCTGGTATATGACTCACAAATCTCTTTTTAGTTATGGAGAGAAAAAAGAATTGCTTCTTTTATTTACTACAATATTATAAAAACACAATATTCACTTTAAAATGAGTGAAACATAAATGAAAACAAACTCGTCCAGTTTACGTAATACATTTCAATGACTGGAGGTATTAAATGAATAATTTATTTATATGTATATGTCATAATAATGTATTTAAATTATCACATGTCAAAGATAAAAATTGTTTACAGTATAAAGAGTAATACTTTTTCATTGACGCACTTAATTATAGTGTAACGAAAACATTTCATGCGTCTTTACGCTATGATCGTATAACGCAAAGGACGACACGTCAAAATGTATACCCTGCCGTGCAATACTATTTTAATGTAACAGCAAAAGCGGCATGCTTTATGTGATAAAGTTATGTTACACACTGAATCATTTACTTAGTATAACAGCTACGTAAACTGACATGTTTCATCATCTAACAAATTGAATACAGAACTATAAACGAAACGAAACAAAAATAACAAAAATGCCGGTCATACAAAATAAACAATCTAGCATACTTTATAACAGGTGTGACATTCAAATTACTGCTGCATGAAACTATTGCATGGATAGTGTCCATCTTTTATTCTGAAGAAAATCAATTTACATTTAACGACCACAAAGATTTTCAAAAATATGCAATAGAATTTACATGTATAAGTCTTCTGCATATAAATAGTTTACGGCAATAAACTTTGATGTGTTTTTTTTAAATATATAGTCAGTACAACTTAAATATAATAAATACACAATTACCTTAAACTTCTTTTTAAGCAAACATAGAATCACTTTAGATGCAGACACAGATATTACATCAATCGGAACATGTCGACAACGTTTCATTAATACACGTAGTCTTATCCGAAGAATGACGGAAAAGGCCGAAAAGTTAGAGTAAAAAGTTAAACATATTTTATAACATTCAAGACATTCTAAATAACGCAGTAACAAAATCATTGCATTTTGCCACTTAAAACTATCAATATTCAAATATCTAGAAAAATATCAAATAAAAAATTACAGCATGTTTAGGACACAACCAATATTTTATTACAATCTCATTCATCATAACATTTAAAAATCTTAACTTGTCTCTTCTCAAATACAGCAACAACCTTGATTGTTTTCATAATAACTAATGACTAGCCTTATGTTTCAAAAAACGAATACTAAGTATTGAGGAAATGAAACACTAACAAATCAATATTATGTAAAGCGATTGTCAAGATATGAAGTATTTCACCTGTCCATGGTATCTATGTGGTATCTATGTTAATATTCTATCTATTTTGTCTTATCAATATCATGCCTTACATGAATATGTTGTGTCAGCGGCTTTTTAAAGGTACAGTATGACTCAGAAATGAATAATATTAACCTTTTTTTTTTTTAAAAAAAGATCAAAGATGATTTTATACGTTTTAAACAATGGTTAAGAGCATGTAAGATGCTTGTTACATAAACAAAAGACCGGTAAATGTACTAATATGTCATTAGTGTAGCAATGAAAACAGTAATGAAACAAGTAATATTTTGACTTCCATAAAAATTACTAAGTTATTATATATGTACTTAATTTATTGGCTGAAAGTAACAGAAGAAGAAGACCAATAAGTAACTTGTTGGAAACTAAAAAATATTTTGAGAAATAAAAATGAAAGTATTGCATTTCGGGTACATAAAGGGGCCTTTACAGGGTATACTATTCACGATGACGTCAGCGGTCTGAAAAAAAATTACCGTCTGAGCGAGGACTATTATAATGTGCAACGGTGAGAAAAATAAAAAAAGCGCACGTAATATAAGCTGAATGCCAATAATTTTCATTGCATTTTAAAAGATTGTTTGTGATTTAAACAATATGATTTCCAACTTTTACAATGAAGTTATATTAAATAAGAAATAACTCAAAACAAGCATTTTACTGACCTCCCAGTCAGCCCGAAACATCAAACAGACATTAGCACGGACATTAGCCTTCCGCTTCAGTCAGGCTGACTGATTGGTCACTATAATGTTATGAAGCCGTCATTGTTGTATACTATTTCTTAAATACATATATGAGCCGCATCACGACAAAACCAACACAGTGCGTTTGCGACAAAACCAACATAATGCGTTTGCGATCAGCATGGATCCAGACTAGCCTGCGCATTCTGATCAGGATCCATGCTGTTCGCTTACAGACCCTATAACAAGTAGAGAAACTGATAGCGAACAGCATGGATCCTGATCAGACTGCGCAGGCTGGTCTGGATCCATGCTGGTCGCAAACCCATTATGTTGGTTTTGTGGTGACGCGGCTCATATATAAATACAATATAATTACATGTAAATACATTGCATCAATAACACAAGTACTATCATTCAATTTGGTTTGTACTATCATTCAATTTGGTTTGTAACTGTCTTATTATTATTATCATTATTATTATTATAAGATAATTCAATATATCAGGGAAAACCGTTTGCTGATGTTGTAAGAACTCATGGTTCAACCGTTTTGCTACTTTTGTGTTTATATTATGATAATATAACGTTATAAATGTGTACAAAAAGAGCAATAAAATATGTTTAAATCAATAACGTAAGTAAATTACAATTAATTACTTCAAGGATTAATTGTACTTCCACTGTTATAACAATCCATTTGTGAAAGAAAAATCTTACAATTAGTACTTCACTGCAGTTTAATTGTTGCAGAGCCCTGCGAAATAAGCAGAATGTAAACAACAAAGTTTTAGAAGTCCACTATTCTTCTATAACACTAACGTCTGTATCAGAGTCAGTTTCATCTATTGTCTCTGGTATTTTGCCAGCATCTGCAAGATACTCTCCCCAGTTGTGTACACCAAACTTCTGACATTGTAAATGCCTTGCGTAACTTAAATACCATACAACAGAGGCAATATGTGAGCACATACCAACAACACGTTCTCCAGCACGACATTTGCAATACCAAGCTTCAATATCTGCAGCAGAAAATCTTATCCATAACAGATATTTCCTGGATGACGTGTGCCGACTTTGGATCCGTACCCGGATCAAATCAGAATCATCATTGTGGACTTGGATTTCACAGTTTCCATCTAAATGTTCCTGTATATAACTTGATGACATTTTAAGTTGATATACGCCACACGTCAACGATCTCAACTGTTCTTCGTTAAACCTTGGAAAACTTTGCAATGATGAGTCGTCCACAGGTTTCCATAAAGCTGATCTTCTTTCAAGATTATTATCTTCAACATAAGATTTCAATATGTTTGCGTTTGATGATAATGCACGCATCTTTGAGGCCAAACGTGAATCGTCATCACTATCAGCATTGCAAAGTGGTTTAAAATACTTGTTGCATATTGCGCAAACTATTCTTATGTAGTCACCAATGTATGGAATTTGATTAGTTGGGAGAACATGATTAAAATATTTCCAACTTTTAATCCGGGCATTTGCCGATTCTACAACCCAGCGAATCTGTAAAAGACGAAGAACAACATAACTGTATATTCAGTTTGATATCAGTGCGCATATATGTGAAATTCTTAAAAGCATAGAACCAAAGTATTGCTTTAAAATGTCAAAATACATTCACTTCAGTAGAACCAGCAACATTTTTAATATCTAGTTATATTAATAGATATTAATGGAAATCAATCTTAAACGATTATCACATAAATAACTTGGTAAGCAGTCATTGTTTTTAACAAACATTAAGACTTAAGATAAACTGTGTTATCTATGTAGATCTAATGTAATACAGTCTTTACTTATAAATCTGAAGATAAAATACATTTATAAAGTACATTTATTTTCAAAACAGAATACCTTGGTTACAAATCTACTATTGTTTGCATCATCGCAAGTCATCTGTTTTTGCCCCTTGGATAAAAATGAAGGCATTTCCACCCTAATGCCTAAATCTTGTAAAAGTTCAAGAGAATCACGGAAACCTCTATCGACAACAAAAATATCATCCTCCTGAATAAAGTCCCTTATCTCTTCAGTATTTGTTTTCAACATATGATTCAGGATAGAAGCATCATTGTTCTTTGAATCAGCAAAATAAGGGCCCATCACTGTAACAAAGTATCCGGTTGTTGTGACAATAACCATGGGCTTCACTAATGGACGACCTTTGTGCATTGAATATGAACGTCTTTGAAAGCTAAAATTATTACTTTTCTGAATATAAACATAAGTTCCATCAAGAACTAAAATAACTTTCCCATCATTTGCATCAAAAGGGACTTGGCTAACGGTCTAGTGTGATGGTTGATAATATCTTCCCTTGTTATGCTTTCAAAACCAAGATATAACGGCACAAATCCTCTCATCATCGCATGTTTTGTGGCAACAATCGCTCTGCGTACACTTGACTTGCTAATTCCAAAATAGAGTAGACAATAGCTTATTAGACAAGCCCGATTTCATCTTCAGGAGAAAAATTCCTAGAGTTGTTCTTGGAAGAACGTGATGGAGAGTTATAAATTTTGTCGGCAACATGACGAAACACATCATCAAACTGAGAACGTGAAAGCCCTGTTAAGTTTTCATATTCTACGTCGTTTAAGACATCAAAATTCAATTTGTTTTGTTTGCAGCAGCATATTTCTCTTAAATGTTTTATAAGTTTTAGGACAGATGTCCTGTTTAGAAATGCTGTTTCTATTATCGGTAAATTCTCTAGAGAATTTGAACAAAGCAGGCCTTCATGTATGTGTACTGGACAGCACCTAGAACCAGCAGGTATGAGTACGTTCTGTTCTATAAACACATTGAATCTGGCCTCTGAAGACAGAACAACTAACTTTGGCCCTGGTCTCTTGCAGACTAAACATCTTGAATGTGTTTTACTGGTAGTTTTTATATTTAATGATACCGATGGCGGACTAGTCGGTGTTTTGGTTCCTTTTGATTGAGAACTTGAAACAGATGGAACATAATCTGGATCTGAATGGTTGCTGTCTTTTCTTGTAAAAGATGATGATTCTAATGCATAGTATTTATGTCTACATTTGTTACAAATTATTTCATTGTCTTTAACATCAACAAATAACCGTTTTTGAAGATATTTTCTTATAGGTTTGCTTATGTGTCTTCTTTCTTTTGGTTTAGTTCTTTTCTTGCACACTGCACAGGCATAAAACTTTGGACCCGATCCAGGCATCCTGAAAAAAATACATAGTACATCAATGATTTAACAGAAAAAATAAAAATATTTCCTCTTGTATTTTGGTTTTATTAACTAACAATAAACTTTTAATTTAATTATTTTTTTCACTCATGACATAAATAATGATTTAAATAATAAACTCTCATTTAATACCACAGGGGGCCCACACAGTGTTTGGATGGTATATACTGCTTGATAGTGACCTTAAAATGAGATTTTAGTCATAACCTTATAATATGTATATAAATATATTTATCTACATATTATAAGGTTATGACTAAAATCTCATTTTAAGGTCACTATCAAGCAGTAAAGACCATCCAAACACTGTGTGGGCCCCCTGTGTTTAATACTTAATATTTTTTTTTCACTTATTTAATAAACAATTATTTAAATAATAATCTGTCATTTAATAATTACGAAAAAAAAAGTACCTTGTTCAAGGGTCGAACCACTAGCCGGATCTGATCAGTCATATAAAATATGCATGCGCCAGGCCACTACGCCATCGCCACAACTGTAAACAAAATGTTTTTAAATTACTACTTAAAGTCGATACGTGACTAAATAAAAGTAAACGGATTGGATGCTTTAAATTAAGTATTCTATCTCTTTCGACACATATTTCAGTTTGTTATTCTGGCAATTACCTGATAAATATATACATTACCTTCACACTTTTTCTAACTATTTAATACTGAGTTCTACTTGGATAATGTTCGACTTTTTAAATTATGCAGACGAAACACAGATTTCGACAATTTCATGGATAAAATTATACTTACTTGGAAACTCCCTGTCACGGTTATCACAAAGTCATATCTGGACTGGAATACATTCCTAGATCCGAGAATAAATGCTCACAAAATAAACAAGCACACTTTATTGACTGTTTTAAACCCTGTCAGCGTTACAGTAGTATAGATTTGCTAGGTAAAGTGTAAACAATGGCTTTGTTGTTGTTGTCGTCGTCGTTGTCATCATCGGCTGGATTTTCATTTTTCATTCAATAAGTTAACAAAACATGACAGAAAAGAAGACATATTTTATTTGACTAATGATAATTGCTTTCGATCTCAATGCTTGACCGCAAAAACAAGTAAAAATTTATAAAAATACAGCTTAAATCTTTGATCTTCTATGCATTCGATTTGCTTTTGCACAGACACCAAGGGAAGGAAAATATAAATTTTCGTAAAGGGCACAGGCCTCGACCAAAATTATTGATACGTTTTTGTAAATTATAAATACCCACAATGACAATGACGTATTTTGTTTTTTGGTCGAGCCCTGTGCCCCATTCAAATTTTTCAATTTATCGTCGAAACTGATACAAAATACCGGAAAACGGGTTTTAGCCCTTACTTCAGGCGTATTTTATTGCACGGAACAGACGTTTTATCTTTACTGTTTTTCATATATATCAACAAGCTAAAGATGTTCTTCCAGAAAATTGTTTCATTTCTTGAAAATTTGAAGTTTTATAAAATACAAAATATTTAGGCATATTTCATGCATAAGCGAATCTACTCCTTTATTGAACGAGTTGAATAAAATCATATTATGCGAGCCTCTGGTAAATTTAGTATTAAATCTACACGAATATAATATTCTTTTTATCACATAGAGGATCTATATAAAAAAGAACGGTAAACTGTTAATAAGTGTCATTTTTATTTGACGCGTCTATTGTGTAACGCTAACATTAGCGCGCTTTAACGCTATGTTGATAGCGCAAATGACGTCACGTCAAAGTGTTATTACACTAGTGTAATAAAGTCTGTCCCATCAAATTTGAATATTCCATTTTTTATTTAATATAATTGTAAAATCATTTAAATTAATGTCATGCTAACCCTGACGTCAATATCTCTAGGCATGTTTTTCATTTTTTTCATAACGTCAGTAATATGGTCATAATGTTAAAATTATATTTTTTCCCGTTGACTTACGTTGTAACCTGACGTGACGTCCATTTCAAAATGGCGGCGCCCATATAGACGTCATTTAGGGTTCGTCTCACAATTAGCGTGAAATGTACTTGGTTATAATAAAAAAATTGATTATTCTTATTTACTTACTGGTCAATAGCTAAATGTTATCATTAAAAAGAAAATGAGAACAAAGTTGGTGTCAAAATGGCAATTTTACTAGCAAATCATAATTTAAAATAATAAAAAACCCTTTGAAGTAAAAATACCAGTAATCGCTTAATAAATTCTAAAACACAAATATTTATATAATTACCATGATATACTGTCGTATTTTATATTATTTTTAAGAGAAAAGGAGCAATGAAGTGATTTGAGTAGATAGCTTTTCAATCAAGCGCGTATCTTGAATACCGCAACGCGTCGTAGGTTTACATAATTCTGTAGTTGTCTGAATTCTGTGCATTAGTATGTATCACTTCTATTCAAATAATTAAATTGATCAGGTTCGATGGGATACAAAAATATGTTACCCTTCTTATTTCGGGTGCGATGTTAATGCGCTAAAACTTTCCGTAGGTTTCAACTTTCACAAGAAATCGCCAACAAATACTACATTTTCATGCAAATCTGACAAGAAATATATAGAAAGGAAAACTGATTCACTATACGTTAAGCATTGGTTTGCTTGTATCCACAGTGTCTACTCTGCTGATGAGAGAACACAGACTCGCGTCCGAGGAAAATGTAATTATAAGAATATGTAATATCATGCTTTCTAGTTTGAGCAATCAAACGTAGGCCTATACACTTTAAGCTTGTAAATACAAATTTAACTTTCCGTCTCACAATTCAACAAAATATCCAGAAATACCGGCAGTGATTTGATATTATTAAGAATAAGTTTGAATTGGAGCGTTCAATAAGCTGCAATAAGTGTGTTTTTGTAGACTTAAAGTGTTACATATTATGTTAAAAGGAAGGGGAGATCGAGTCAAAGAGAAACACCAAGTGACGTCCTCAATAATTTAACACGGCCTTTCTAAAATTTGAAAATATTCAGTGAAAAAACAATAGCATATTTTTCGCGGGAGAAAAAATAGAGTATCTACCGCGTATTGTATATTTTGTAGCTAAAAGAGTAGGATTTTAAGAAGTCTTGAATAACTAGATAATATATAGGTGAATCATTTCTGAGAAAAATATATAATAGTTTAAAAACATAAAATCAAAACGAAGGTTATAGATCTATGTAGATCTAATTAATGGAAGAAGTATTGTACTGTTATAGATTCATGTTATTAAATTTATCTGTTTAAAATTAATTAGGCCTAAATGTTATCAAAAGTTTTATTATTAATATATGAATTGAAGGTGTAATTTTAACAGTTAAGTTGCGAAATCTGGGTATACTAAAATTATTTTAAATGCCACCAAGACAAATTTATCTCAATGCTTAAAATTATCTGTATGAGGTTACGAGTGTAGGACAAAAGCCCCCCCGGACGAAAGCCCCCCCATCCAAAAATGACAAGGTGGACAAAAGCCCCCCCATGAAATTTTCACATAGGACAAAAGCCCCCCCCCATCAAAAATACAGGTAGGACAAAAGCCCCCCCATCTTTTTTCACACGCGCAGGTGCTCAAATTCATCAAATTTCACACAAACTTTTAAATAAAAATGAAAATAATTTGTTTTAATGTTTATTTATAATGTATATATTGAAGTGATAACAAAGTTTATGATAAAAAATTAAATAATGCATGCCTGCAATACCGAATTCATAGCTTTTCAAATACACAACAAGGGTCAGAAGAGTAGTAATGTTTAATCACTTTTGTACAGGGATCAAATTAATATCCTAAGCACTATGTCACCTACATGTGATGTCCATACATACCTTTTAAACACATAAAAAATACAACTTTAATACACTATATGTAAATTTGATTGACAATGGGGGGGGGGCTTTTGTCCTACCTTTACTTTTTTATGGGGGGGCTTTTGTCCTATGTGAAAATTTCATGGGGGGGCTTTTGTCCACCTTGTCATTTTTAGATGGGGGGGCTTTCGTCCGGGGGGGCTTTTGTCCGTATCCCATGAGGTTACATATGCCTAACCGCCCTCTGTCAATGCCGCAACTGGAATCATCCATAAAAAGCGCGAGGCATTTTTGTTACGTCATATATTTCGTAAATTGTTGTTGACGTAATAAAGT